GCGAGCCGAGCAGAGAGACAGGTTGTGTCCCGCCGAAGCGGGAGATACACGGTCCCGGCGTACCCAGCACGGGACCAATCAGAGACGGGTCACCCCATCGGAAGCAACCGCCGGTCCGCAGAGCTCGACGAAACTAGGACGACGGCGCCTCCCGCCCGACAACATGGACACGTTGCAGGCTTCGCACGCGACGTCGTCGTCGTTCCGCCTCGCTCCGCAGTCGACGGCAGTCGCCTCGACGAGAGGCAACACCGCAGTCCGGGACGATCTACTCGAATGCAGTTCCGCGACGATCCACTTCTCCGCGACCATCTGATGGAATTCACCGCGACGACACACTCTTCCGTCCTCTTCCGTCAATCTCCTACGGTCCTCTTCCGTCAATCCCCTACGGTCCTCTTCCGTCAGGTCCCCTTCCTTCCGTCCGGGCGGGGGCAGGTCCTCTTCCGTCCACTGACAGGCTTCTCCTCGGGGATCCGTCCAACGCGTTCCTCCGCCGGACCCTAACCTACGACGCGGCTGGCCAGAGAGAAAATCCTTCGGCAGCCTCCTGGGAGGCACCATTCTAGAGGCTGGTCACCCCATCGGAAGCAACCGCCGGCCCGCAGAGCTCCACCGTATTCCGACGACGGCACCTCCCGCCCGACAACATGGACACGTTGCAGGCTTCGCACGCGACGTCGTCGTCGTTCCGGTCCGCTCCGCAGTCGACGGCAGTCGCCTCGACGAGAGGCAACATCGTGGTCCCGCCGAAGCGGGAGATACACGGTCCCGGCGAACCCAGCACGGGACCAATCAGAGACGGGTCACCCCATCGGAAGCAACCGCCGGTCCGCAGAGCTCGACGAAACTAGGACGACGGCGCCTCCCGCCCGACAACATGGACACGTTGCAGGCTTCGCACGCGACGTCGTCGTCGTTCCGGTCCGCTCCGCAGTCGACGGCAGTCGCCTCGACGAGAGGCAACATCGTGGTCCCGCCGAAGCGGGAGATACACGGTCCCGGCGAACCCAGCACGGGACGATATAAATACGATCATCCCGGCTATCCGAGCACGGGATATTCACACATGCCCCTTCCGAAGCGACCGCATCGCTCACCGAATTCCGACGCGAATAAAACCTGCCCCGTTCCAGGCTTCGCTCGCGACGTCGTTACAGTTCGCTCAGCAGTCGACCTCCTCGGAGGCGGTCCCGGCCGACAAAGCACGGCACGGTACTCGGGCGGCCGCGCGGCCGCACGAGGGGGGTGACGTAGCAGATCCGCAGAGCTCGCCGAATCCAGACGTCACCTCGCAACCTGGGCACGTTGAGAGGTTTCGCACGCGATCCGGTTCGTTCATTGGAAACCAGTCCACCACATCAGGAGACTCAGATCCAACCCACTCGAGTGGTGTTTCGATCATGACTCTCAGACCTGATACCTCAGACAGGTCCTCCCCATATAGGGTATCGACCTGTCCAGATATCTTGGAAACGATTTCGATCTGCGGTCCTCCGCGGCACCGGGCGTCCGGGGGAGGAGGGGAGGGGAGAGAATCCTGCCCCACTTCTTTACCTCGAAATCGTGGGAACACCGGAATCCGAGTACGGAAAACGTCGCGCCCCGAAGGGCTCCGGGCGACGACAGCACCACCGCCCGACCTCGGCGGCGGGGTGTCGTGACCGCGATTCCGCCGGGGCACCACTCTTCCGGTTCCTTCGCAGGTACGGAGAGAGCTGTGCGTCGTCGGAACGAAGAGACCGCGAACCCGCCGCCTGGACCGGACCGGCGAGTGGTCGTGACCCCGGCTCCGCCGGAGCACCACCTCTCCCGTTACGACGCAACACCACTCTCGAGAGGCACGGAGAGAGTGGTGCGTCGTCGGAACGAAGAGACCGCGAACCCGCCGCCTGGACCGGACCGGCGAGTGGTCGTGACCCCGGCTCCGCCGGAGCACCACCTCTCCCGTTACGACGCAACACCACTCTCGAGAGGCACGGAGAGAGTGGTGCGTCGTCGGAACGAAGAGACCGCGAACCCGCCGCCTGGACCGGACCGGCGAGTGGTCGTGACCCCGGCTCCGCCGGAGCACCACCTCTCCCGTTACGACGCAACACCACTCTCGAGAGGCACGGAGAGAGTGGTGCGTCGTCGGAACGAAGAGACCGCGAACCCGCCGCCTGGACCGGACCGGCGAGTGGTCGTGACCCCGGCTCCGCCGGAGCACCACCTCTCCCGTTCCGACGCAACACCACTCTCGAGAGGCACGGAGAAGGTGGTGCGTCTACGGAACGAAGAGACCGCGAACCCGCCGTTGCAAAATCAACGGCGAGCTGTCGTGACTCCGACTCCGCCGGAGCACGACGCGTTCCGTTTCGCTCCGAGGCACCGGCCCGAGGGGTGCCCCGGCGGAACGCAGGGACCGCGAGCACGCCGCCGGGTCCCGGGAGGGCCACCTCGCGTTATACCAAAACGCGAGAAGGAAGCTCGAGAGCGCTCATCCGAGGACCGTCGACAT